GCTTTACCAGCAGCCATTTCTCCAGTATCATCTGCCTGGAAGCTCCAGCCTTCACAGTTACCAACTGGGCTTTCCCACGATGGATATCTTGGGGTCACCTCGTGTGGGGGTGTGAGTGGGAACCGTCAGCTAACGGATGTCTGGTTTCATGTTAGACCAGGTGACCCGCCACTACCATTCTCACTTTCCTAGGCACCTAGGCTGTGCCCTGTGGTCATTTCTTAGAAGTCACTGTGCGAGGTGGGAGTGTCTACCCCACAGTTTGAAACACAAGTCAGATCACGGGTAGTCAACTCAAAGCAGATCCCCAGAACCAGCACCTTCTGGGGTGCTGGAAACTGGTATGTGTGAGTAAGTGCAGGGCCTAGTGCCATTTCATCCACCCTGGAGAAAAGGGTGCTCTGAGGAGCAGGGGGGCGGGCCAAGGGCCTGCATTTGTCCGTGCTGTGCCCAGTGTCACAAGAGGTGCCTAGAAGCTTATTCATGTTAGCAGCTTATTCATGTTAGCAGTTTGAAGGCAGACATTTTCACGATTTAACATATACTGAGGAGGTGGGGTTGAGGTTGGGGGCAGTCTCTCTGGTGGCCTAGGGGTTAATTCTCAGTGCTGTCACTGAGTTCGATCCCTGGCCGGGTAGCTGACCCACATGGCATAGCAGACCTCTCCTGCTCCCCTCAGCAGTGTATTTCAATAGATCCGCCTGTTCTGCTACCCACTCTGTCTCTGGTGAATCCTCTTACCCCCTCACCTCTGGCCTATACTCCAGTTCTTCTATGCAAAAAAAAAAATAATAATAATGGGTGGGGAGCCAGAAATTTGATGATATTAATTTTCCCTGCAAGGAAATAGCACTGTTCATGGTGACTTCCCAACACCCTGATCGGAGAGTTTCAAAGAGCAGAACAACCTGTGGGTTGCGACAGACTCACGCTGTCACTGTGGACAAGCAATTAGCTGTCAGCATTCTCAGTTGCTAAAAATTCAACTTCTAGGCAAAGCCAGTATTTTTGAGATCATTGGATGGCTGTGGTAGTTATGTGATTAGTGTTTTATTTTCATTCACCAGCCAACCAGAGACAATTGCTCTTCCTGTGGTTGCCAAGATGCTCAAACAGGTGGCATTCATTTGCACATGAGCAGCAGGCGGCATGCATGGTTGCAGGAAACATTGACCTTTTTATGTTAATACTGTGTGGAGATGTGTTCAGGGACGTTCAGGTTATTATAAGTGCACCCCATAGGCTTTAACAACACCACACCGATTCTTGCGTGCGTGCTGTCTTAACCGGAGACCTGGATGCCTCTAAACTGCCCCCCTTTGAGTGGATGTTAGGGATTAAAGGTGGTCTAGCTGCCAATATCCCAGATGGAAAGGACTTCACCTGGAATTTTATTTATTTTTTTAAAAAAGATTTATTTATGCATATAAACTGGGGTACAGGCCAGAGATGTGGGGGTGGTGGTGAGAGGATTCACCAGAGACAGAATGGGGAACAGAACAGGCAGATCAACTGAAACACACTGCTGAGGGGAGCAGTGGGCGAGTCAGGAAAGGTCTGTTGTGCCATGTGGGTAGCTCCCTGGCTGGGGATAGAACTCGTGCTGCAGTGGCTGCAGACAGCTTCATAGGTTGTGTCTTAACCTCTTGCACCATCACGGAGGCCCTTACCTGAAACTTTAAAGGTCAGCTTCTTTCCCAACTGCTCATTGTCCATCTCCTTTCTATTAAAAATTCAATGCAGATTATGTGATCATGGTATAGAAAATTTAGATCACAGAGAAAATACTCCTGATATGACTTTCAGTATTTCCTTCTTCTGTCTGCATTCTTTTATAACTATGTCGGAGTGGGGGGAATGCGGGCCTTTTTGGGTTGTTCATGACAGAAATGTGGTTCTGCCAAGTTTAGGCAGAGAGGGGCCTTGGTGTGTATCCAGCAGCGCCTGCGAGCCCAGGGCAGAAATGTGGCTGGGGCTGAGAACTGCACGCCACGGCGCTCTCCTTGGTCTCTCAACCGTGTTTCCTGTCAGGCTGCCTTCTCTCTTTCTGTCTTTGTCTTTCTCTCTCTCTCCTACAGTTTTTTCCCACATGCAAACATAGTCATAGAAACCCCTCAAGTTTAATTCCTTGCCACTTCAGCCACCCAGAGAGTCCAACCCAATTCTTGCATGATCCTAACACCTGTTGTATAGAATGGTTGCTCCTGGGGTGACTATTTGGCGGCCTTGGTGGGGATTTCCACCACTGGGCCCCCCAGATGTGACTATGTCTTGCCTTTTCATTTATCTAGTGTCCAAACTGCCTCCACCTGACATAATCCAGCACTCCCCCCACCTCCAGCCACAAGGCTATGCCCATGCTCAGTGGGAGACGGCCCCAAGTCTCATTGAGCTGCAGGCCTCCATGGTCCTGTCAGGGCCACTGTTGTCCTGGGCAACACACACCCCTCTGGTGCAGGTGTGAGAGGTCCAGAGGAGGCCAGGCCCCACCTGCACCCATGGCTGAAGTCATCATAACTACCCACTGAACAGCTGGTATGCTGACCTTTCGGTCCCTGGGTGGGCAGGCCCTGCTCTTGAGCCTTGTTTTCCTCACCTGGCCCAGATCTGCCTAGTTGAGCTAGTTCCAAAGACAGAATTAAAAGTCTACTCTCCTCAAACCTAAGGCTTTACACAGAAAAGACAATGCAGGCCGCAGTAAAGCTCTCCATTGTCTTCCCATCCCAGGTGAGCGGGCCCTGGTTCTGGCGCAGGAAAGGCTCAACCTGTCCCCCTCCACACCAGGCACAGGCACAGGCACAGGCACAGGCACAGGCACAGGCACAGGCACAGGCACAGGCACAGGCACAGGCACAGGCAAGATACGAGGCAGGCCAGGTTCTGGCTGCTGCCTGGCCCCTACTGCCAGTGGGTCTGCACTGTGGAACAGGAGTGCGGGGCCTGGAGTGTCTGTCCTGCTGCCTCAGGTGCCGTGGAGTGCACCACAGGGCCTTCCCTTTTATTTTTTATTTTTATATTTTTTAATATTCTTTTGTGTCTGACTTCTTTTTTTTTTTAAGATTTTTATTTGTTTATTTATACAAGAACCGGGATATAGGACAGATGTGCGGGAGGGTGAGAGGATTCACCAGAGACAGAGTGGGGAACAGAACAGGCAGACTGATGAAATACACTGCTGAGGGGAGCAATGGGCGCGACAGGAGAGGTCTGCCGTGCCATGTGGGACCCTCGCTGGGGGGCTGGGATCAAACGGGCACTGCAGAGACTGTGGACAGCTTCACAGCGCGACTCTTAACTGCCTGCGCCACCAGGGGAGGCCTGGCCTTCCCTTTTAAAGGTCTCACTAGGCATCATCCAGCTCACCCCGAGAATGTCCAGGTATTTTAGGGTCAGGATCCCTGGGGGTAGTATCCCCCAGTCTTTTTACATTTGGTGCTAAAAGTCAGACATAACATCTATATTTTAAAAACAGCATCTGCACCAAGATTCGAGCTGTCACAGTATAAGCAAGTTGCAGTGGCCTCTTTTTCATTCAAGGCCACAGGAATCAGCTCATTTCCAGGACAGCAGAGTTACAAAGGGAGAGAAAAACCTCATTACAAGGTGGCACAGCTCAAAGGAGTGTTGTCCTGGGAAACCTTGTCACTTATCACTTGCATGCACTGTGCACGTATGTGAGCACGCATGGCTGTTCCCATGGAAACCGTGCAGATGAGTGCACAGATCCTGGCAAAGCCAGGCAGACCAAAAAATCCATCCAGTGTGATTGTAACCACAGTGCACATTAAATTTAGGATCCTATATTTTTTGCCTTATAACGTATATAAGCATTTTTCTGCACTGTATTACAGGATTTTCCAAATGCTCTTTTTTTTTTTTTTTTTTAATTATTTATTTATTTATACAAGCACTGGGTATAGTCAGAAGCGCGGGTGGGTGAGAGAATTCACCAGAGCCAGAGCGGGGAGCAGAGCAGGCAGAAGGACCGAAGCACACTGCTGAGGGGAGCAGCGGGCGGCAGGAGAGGTCTGCAAGCCATGTGGGACCCTCCTCCGGTGGCCGGGGAGCAGCCGGGGATCGAACCGACGCCACAGAGGCCGCGGGCAGCTTCGCAGCCCAGCGCTCAACCGCTGCGCCACCAGGGGAGGCCCCCCAAATGCTCTTTTAATGATTATATAATATTCCGTTGATCATGTTATAATTTATCTTAGCCATATTTTTGTGTTTATAAATAGGATATCGTGAATGTTGTTGCACAGACCTTTTTCCATATGTGGAAATTCCTTGGGCTATAAAAATGAAATTATAAGATCAAAAATAGGTGCATTTTTAAATGCCTTCCAGGTAGATTACACTAACTTACAATTTTCATTGCCATCAGGGATGGGTGAGGAAATGGATTTCACTGCCTTTGTCTATTTTCTTTACATTTTAAAAATTCTTTGAGCCAGAAAGTACACTTTTAATTAAAATGCATTTTAATTAAATGCATTGTGAATCTATTGAAACCTTGGTATTTTATAAACTCTTTATTGAATGAGAACTGTTTTTCCTATTTTGCTTTAAAACTTCTTACCTGACTCTTTTACTTTTTAAAATGTCAGACATGCACATGGGTGTGCTGGCCTTTTTTATCAGCGAGTCTTGCCAAATGACCAGGTTTTAAAAAGTACAGTGTGGCCAGGAGAAGGAAGTATGTAGAAGTTGAGTGCGCTTTCTCATCTGCCTCAGTGGAGGCTGGTGCTGGAGTCTCTCGGAACCCCAACCCCTGCCCCTGTCAGTTTCTCTGGTCAGAAGCCTGCTGACTGCAGGAGGCAGCCTGGGTTCTAGTCCGGACTCAGCGGTTGTGTAAACACGTGCACTGGGGGGACTTGGGCTCTCCAGCCTCAGCTTCTCCACCTGTGGGGTGCAGGGGGTCTCAGAAAGGGGGCCTGTAGTTGTCAGTGCCCACGGGGAAGAGTCACTGCTGGCCCTGACAGTCCTTTTGCATCTCGTTGCAGGCGTTTGCAAGTCCCAGCACCGTGACACTTCCGGAAACCTTGTTGTTCGTGTCAACCCTGGATGGCAGTTTGCATGCTGTGAGCAAGAGGACAGGCTCCATCAAATGGACTTTAAAAGAAGGTAACTTGAATTTGGACCTGGGTGATGTGGACCTTTGTTCAGCTGTTTTTGAGGAAACATATATTCCAGTGATAAAGGTTAAGTGCTATACATTATTTAATAAAAAGGGATAATGGAGTCAAGAAGAGGAGGGGAAAGTCTCTCCATAGGGTTTGTTTATAGCTTGAATTGTGATTATCCACCCTGGTGTATCACTTTAACTCTTGTTTTCCTGCTTTTTTGTTTCTGTCCAAATTTCATGTTTAATCGATTCTAGGCCTTTCTAATAATAGTTCTGAGTCTGACTGGTCTTTGTGAAGACTTGCTGCATTAAATATTTCTATTACTTTCTAATGATTAGAATCTTGTAATTATAATTACAAAAGGGTATCTTCTCTAACCTCAGATTACTCATTTGCTTTTATAGAGGCTGAAGTAATTGAGGGCTGTGAGATTTGACATTCGTCCAAGGTAGCCACTTTATTAGGTTTTTATGTTGAGGGAAGTAAGACTGAGCTGGTTTCACATTTAATATACCACACTCCCCTTTTATGATTTTGTCTTGGTGGTGATAGTTTACAGAGTGCAGTCCTACAGCTGGGAAATAGTATTCAGTTTCCAAAGCAATTTTCCTAGATAAAGCCACGCAAATCCCAGGATCTGGAGCTTCAGAATCATCCCTGCTGTTCTGTCCAGTAATAATTCTCATTCGGCCCTACTTAGGGCCCGGCCAGCGTGTTCGCTTTCGTCACAAGTCTGTGACTCATTGTTTTCATGAGCACAGCAAGTGTTTTTCCTTCCTTAATAGGATGTTCCAAAACAGTCTTCTAAATGGAAAAATATTCACATATGTCAGGTCACACATCATTCTTGTCAACTCAGCCCCAAGCTGGTAACCATTCAGAGGTGGTGGCAGCTGGGGACCACAAACCACCTGTCTCACCTGTCTGGGCCCTGCTGGCACCAGCAAGGAGTGGGGCACAGCAAGACGGCAGAGCCGGCTCCGAGAATGTCATCTGCATTGTCTCTTTACCATGTTTAAGCCTTTTCTTGTTTTTAAAACAAAAACAGAGTTCCCTAAATTTCAGAGTTTCTGAAATTTGTCCAAAGATGAAAATCGGCAAGTCACAAAAGGAGCAAGATAAACATTCCCTCTGTTGAATGCGAGGGCTGGTCTCAGGGAGGGCCTGCTGGCCTCCAAGCCCCTTCACTCTTTGGCTTTACTTTTCCCTGCATGAATTGCTTTAAGTTGATCTTCTCCAGGTCTTAATTTCTACAAGTAGCCTTGACGGTATCTGACAAAGCTATGTCCTACCCTATTTACTGCTTAACCAAACATAAGAATCAATTTGTTCTTTCCCATAACTTAGAGCTTAGAAAATTTGCCTCTTTTTTTTTTCCCCACTTAATTGAGCATGTGTTTAGAGAACATAGACTATGAAAGATGTTTGGGGCACAATGAAGAAAAAGCCAGTCCTGCCCTAGGGGAGCCCACAGTCTGGTAGGGAGCAGAGACAGGCACAGGGAAAACTGGTGCAGTCATTTTGGAAAGTAGTCTGGAATGACCTTAAAAAACTAAAATCAGAAATAGCATAGGGCCCCTACCCCCCCACTTCTGGGCATCTGCCCGAAGACCATGAATCCATCAACTCAAAGAAGCATGTGCTCTGTGATGTGTGTGGCAGCATTGTTTTAGTTCCGAGGACTTAGAAACAACTTAAATCCACTCTGTCCACACCATGGAAGCCTGTTCAGCCACAATGAAAGAGAAAATGTCATTTACAGCAAAGAGGAAGGAGAGGAGGAGCTTGAGGGAATTGTGTAGATCGCAATGCAGGTCAGAACGACCAAGACCATTGCTGGACATTTACATGGGGGATGATGAGACAAAGTGAAATACTTCCGACGACGGGCAGACCCTAATAAACGGCGAAGCTTCTGAGGTTAAGAGGGAGGGGGCGGGGAAAGGGTTAAAGGGGGCATAAGGGGTGGTAGTAGGAAAAAAACTAGAGATACGTACTGATTAGAATTGCTAAAATGAAAAAGACTTTTAAAAAAGGGCAAATGTGTTGTTTTAGATCAGAGAATGTTCTATGGTAGGAGAGCTTCTGAAACTGCTTCACCCACCTCCACCTGGAGGGACCAGAAGGTCTGCAGGAAGCTGAACCTTGGTGGGTGGACTGGAGTCCAGTCCAGCAAAGGAGGCAGCAGGCCAGGGTGCAGGCAGTCCTGCTGGAAGGAGCTTGGGGTGGGGGTGGAGGGAGCGAGGCTCCGGATACTGAACCCCGAGATAGCGCTCCAGCACTCGTACCCGGGTGACAGGAGGCCGGGAGCCTTTCATGTTTCTGGGCTTGCCAGTGATGTAGCAGGTGCTCTGCTTCCAGATTCACCCAGCAGCGGCGTGTGGGAAGGCAAGCCTCAGGAGCCCCATGAGAGGTGCTGCCGGCCTGGAAAGGGGGATCAGGGGTCAGGGAGGAAGTGGGAAGGACCAGAGGCCAGAAGTAGAATCAGTCAAGTCCAACAACTGATTACTTAGGCGAGCAGGGAGGAATTAAAAGACACTTCAAGGAAGAATTAGAGAAATCTGATTAACATCTAATAATCTCAAGTAATGTTCAGTATGTTCTAAATTTCATTGTTTTTCTGAGAATAAACGGGCTTATCTTAGTTAAATTCAGCCCTGAATTCCTAGGCCCTTGATGTATATTCTATACAAAGATCAAAGATGGTAACATGGAGAGACCCCGAGTTTTCCATTTCATTCTAATCTTGGCAGCTGTAACTCAGGATTTCAAAATTGGTATTTCTTTTTTTTTTTTAAAGATTTATTTATTTATGCATACAAGAGCTGGGGCACAGGCCAGAGATGCAGGGGGAGGGATGAGAGGATTCACCAGAGACAGAGTGGGGAGCAGAACAGGCAGATCCATGGAAATACACTGCTGAGGGGAGCAGCAGGTGTGACAGGAGAGGTCTGCCACACCATGTGGGTAGCTCCCTGGCAGGCCAGGGATCAAACCCGCGCTGCAGAGGCTGTGGATTGCTTCATAGTGCAGTGCTTAACCCCTTGCAGCACCAGGGAGGCCCCAAAACTGGTATTTCTAATCTTAATATGTGACTGGACTGGAAGGTCTCCGAATACCATTCTGGATTCCGAGGCTACAGCAACTGATTGAACCCGAAAGAACAGAGCTCTCATTCTGGTGGAGACAGACAAGGAAATAAGTTACAAAGTGGTGACGAGAGGCAGGAGGAAAATAAAGCAGGAAATGGAACTGGGAGTGCGGGGGGACAATGTGTGTTGGGGGGGGCGGGCAGGGGCTGCAGTTTTAAAAAGGGACACCCCACCGAGAAGGCTTCATTTGAACAAGTCCTCAAGAAGGCCAGGGAGTCTTTTGGGCAGAAGCCATAGCTTCACAGGGGCAAGGTGGGCTTGACCTTGGCACAGCAGAGAAAGAGGCTGAGGTCAGAGTGGCCCTCCAGAGGGAGGAGGTAGAGGAAGAAGGAGGCTTGCTGGGGGTGCAGGGAGAGGCCCCCTGCTCCCTTCACATGCCCCGCTGCTGTCCTGCCATAACTTCCATACACTCACTCTCAAAAAGAAATGCGTCCATCACCCAACTGGCCATCTAAAACTGCAGGGACGGGAAAGTCATTTTCAGTCACATATGTATAGTTTAACATGTAAATGCTCAGACACAGACACACACCGTCCCTCCACCTCCGAGTGGATGTGGGACCCGTGATAAAAGGTGACAGACAGAGGCAAACATTCGATCCATAACATCCGTCACTCCTCTGTTCAGATTCCTCCAAAGACCCCCAGAAAGCCGGTGTCCCTGCGCTGTCACCAGCACGTGCCGGAGTCCCCAGAGGGAGGGTCCAGCTCCCTAGGCAGTGCTCAGCATGTCTGTGGGGACATTCCTTGCTGGTCAGAGGGACTGGGGAACAGCAGGGGCAGTGTGTGGGGGGCAGGGATGCCAGGAGTGCCCCTAGCCCAAGATTGCCTTGTGACTACACACTGCCCGGATGACCTGCCACTCTTGCCAGCCAGGGCCTTTGATAATGGTCTCTGCCTACACAGAGCACACAAAGAGCTCAAAAGTCCTTTTTGCATGATTTTGTACCCTGAATCCTCCTAAAGGAACGACTGTGTGAGTTAGGTAGGGCTATTCATCTGGAACCTTCCCAAGGATTGCTCGCTGTCTTGGAGATCCCGGCCCTGCAGGCGCCTGAAGCTACAGGGCAGAGGAAGTGGGGACCCAGCGGGGTTTCTGCACCAGCCGGGGGGCGAAGGGCACGTGGCTCAGCCTGAGCCGGCCTGGAGTGGAAGTCAAAGTCGCGTTGGAGGAGACCTGCCAAGGCAAACAGCCCTTATCTCATTGCGCTGGGGCCCCGCAGAGCACACGCCTGTTGCTTCATGTCCTATTTACCTGTTTCGGGACCCAGCGCAGCGGGGGTAGTTTTTTTTTCTTCTGAGTGGTTTTAGCAGGTGTTCTGTTCCTCACCCAGACACATGCTGCTGTTCCCAGAAGCGGAGATGCCTTCCGCCACGGTAGCAAACTACACCTTGCGCAGAAAACGAGTTTTATTTGTTTTCGGAAGCGAATCTGAGTTCTGACATCCCACCTCAAGTGCGATCCCTCTCAGCCGTGATCCTGTAGCTGCGGCGGCACCGTCTGCCTTTGTCTGAAGTTCCCCCAGTGAGCATGGTTGAGTTTGTTTCATTTCTACACCTTCAGCCCAAATGCAAGCCGGGAACGTCGCCGTGAGGCTTTGTGCCGGGTTCGTTTCGCAGAGCTTGCCTGGGCCCCGCGGGGCCGGAAGGACTTGGCTGCGAGACCTCTTGCTTCGCCTCGTCACACTCGTTGGTGCCGCTTGACGCTCGAATCCTCACCAAACTGCGGGTTATTCTTTAGCTTCCCTCCTCCCGCCACCCGCACCCCCATCTCCTTCCCAGCAAGAGCAGGCGTGGAGCGTGGGCTCCAACTTACCGCTGTTCTTCCTAATCACAAAAGTAAGCG